ACATGGAAACGTTATGAAAGGCCACTGCACGTCAAAATTGTGTGAAAATTGAACAAATGTGCGGCTTTTGAAGGTGTCAGGAACATAAGTGTCCGCTGTCGTCAGGAATAAGGCTATTGGCCCTTGGTCGAAAAGCTGGCGCTGAGAGAGGGTCACTTGATGTCCATGTCCCATGCACTTCTCGTATGGCGCTAAACTAAACTCATGACTACAAAGAGCACGATGGTCAGCATTTCAAACTGGTTTTGTCCGCTAGGGACGGGATGGGCATTTTAAGAGTGCTGCAGGAAATGCGCCGCATGGCGTCGGGGAGCTGGTAGCATCTGTACACCACAGCGCCGCCAACTCCGTCAAATTTCTGTTCCATTAACCTCCCCAATGGCTGTAATGTGTACGCTCGTAGCAGACTGCAGCAGTCGGAGCCCGCCTGCTGGCTGCTACACCGACCAGCATCGCTGGGCAGCTGCAGCTAGAGCTCCAGCTTCACCACGGCAAGGTCACAAGCCGGCACACACCGGCCACAGTCCATGCCGTCCGTCCATCGATCAGGCGGTATCGCTGCCGAGAGCAGCGGCTGTCAGCCGCCAACAGCCGGGAGAGTGCCGATGACGCAACAGGAGTGCATGTGTGGCCGGCCGGGTGAAAGGCGTGTGCATATTTCCCCTGCAGGAGCAGAAGAGACGCTGCGCCTTCTCAGGTGTCCCCTTGGTTGGCACAGATGAGCCACGAAGCATTCTCAGGTGTCCCCTCGATTGGCACAGATGAGCCACGAAGCATTCTCAGGTGTCCCCGGATTACCGCAGGTGTTAAGAGCCAGGTGTTCCCGGCTTGCCGCAGATGAGCCGCTAAGCCTCCTCAGGAGCCTCGCATTGCCACAGATGAGCTGGCTCGTCGCGTCGTGTCCCTGGCCACCGGTGGATAAACAGCCCGACAAGACCAGCTGGTCCATCCTGTGCATCTTTGCTGACCATATGCATGCCAAATTGGCATAATGTACCTTTATTGGCGACCTGTGCAACTGTATAGCGGTCAGGTTACCTCTGTGGTATGGTGGAAAGATGCTGGACACGTCATCCAGCGGCGCTGGACATGCACTTTGGACCGTCTTGCCCGAGTGACATGGAAAGACCAGCTGGCAACTGGCCAAACAGTGTCAACTCAGACCAGCCGCGGCGGCGTAGCAGCAATACACGGCACTTGGAATCCTCCGCTGTGCCGTCTGGCAAAAAGACCGGTGGCAAAGTTATCTGATGAGCTGGATCCGTATCACTTGGGTGGTGGCTCCGAAGTGCATGCAACAAACTATGTTCAGCCAACACTCTTATCCCGGCGCAATCCGTACATGGAATTCTAGGAAAACGTCTAGAGAATACCTCTCTGTGCTTGCATGACAAACGTTCGTGAGCGAATCTGAGGTGTGACCCCGACAGGCAGCCTGCGGCTATGTCGTCAGCACAGCTGGTGTGAGCCTGGGCGCCGTCGCCGCACCCGGTGGCATCCGGAGGTCACCGGCGAGCGTCTCGCGCCGCCCGGAGCCGTCCGCTCCCGTGGGAACGCCCCGACCGGCGGTAATCTTCAACCCGTTACTCACGATCGTCGGACGACGGCATGCCGATGGCCGAGCGGAGGGGAGGCTGCGGCGGGCTCCTCGTGCCCGCAGCGCACACTGCTCCGTGCCGTCACCGCCCGCGAAGGAGCGGCGGACGTCCTCCATCCGGCTGGCCGACGCCAGAGGTGGGCAGAAGCTGCTCGTGTAAGCTCGCGACGTCGCGCGCCCCAGGGCGGGCGTGTGACGTCACGAGTGGCTCGTGACGTCACGAGTGGTCGTGCCCTGAGCATTCTCGCGCTGGGTGGTCTGGCGATGTTCCTGGATGCATCGGGTTACTCATGGAGAAGATGAAAGACTTCCTTCATTTCTCGGCATGACCTCAGCGATGCCTGGGTATTTCCCACCTCCCACCTTCCTTTCGCCGGTGGGAGCTTTGAAGCTGCCGTTCGCCGCGGTGCGAGGCCGGAACCGATGCAGAGATCGCACCGATCGAGACAGCAACCGCTACCCTTGGATGGCACGACCCTGGCCGACGTTTTCTCCGCGAGCGGGTCGCTCATGACTTGGCGTGTCAGATCACAGCCCGATACTGCCACTGGCATCTTCGGCGAGGCCTCTCAATCGATTTGTTCGCACGGAGTCAGCAGCACGGCTAAAGCCTCCTCCGGAGCCGGTCCGGTAGCCGGCACGGCACGTGACATCCGGTTTCCGGATTATCAAAAGCCCCCTCCATACCCCCACCCGCTCTGGGTGGGGATGGAACGTGAGCGGACTAGGCAGTGTCCGGGTGGGCATTGCACCGACGGGGTCTCCGAGTCTGGCGCAGCGGCGTCCGCTGTTCGGCTGCTGCCAGACGGACGTCGCTCGGGGCGGAGCGTCCCGCCCCACCAGAGCGGAGCGGGACGGTGGACAGAGTGCCGAAGTTGCAGATTTGTGGATGGAAAATGAAGCCTTCCGCCGAACGACTTCGGGCACTCGGCTTTGAGCGTCGCTCTCAATTTTGGTCCTTCGTCCGTGGACATATCTAATCAGTTGTGACTGAGGTCTCATTCGAGACCTCAGCAACACCGCTTTGGTTCCCATGGGACATTTGGCTGAGACGCATTTTATACGCTGGTGCTTGGCGTTGTGTTACCGGCTTTGATGCATCACTAATGTATGCAGTGGAAGGAAAATAGTTTGGGAAGGGACCAGTGGGTGCGGCAATTATAGCAAGAAGTCATTCGGACATTGACAGAATCACCGAGTCACGAGCTGCGGCTGCACACATACATGACATAACATGGGGCATACTTAGTTTATCAGCATTGTGCACTAAGTCAGGGACAGCAAAGCATCCAAAATGTCGTTGGACGGGTAATGCGGTGTCTCCTACTGTCATGCCACTTGACACCACAGAGTTTATGCTACATTTGTCAGTGTCGCGTATTGGATGTCCCTTCCCCCCCCCCCCCCCCCCCACTCGCACACAGCTCCACAGTGTGCCACTTTCCTGATCAGCGGTCATGCGCTGAAGACAGTTGAGTCGAGACAGTTGCCCGTCGAGTTCACAGATTTCCAGACATTTCGCAAACATGTCGAATCTTGCTAGGCATGTGACAGCCCAGGCCGTTATCTGATGTTTTTCCCCACAGCAGATTCTTCTCGCCCTTTTCTGAGAGACGCCATTTTTGCAGCCGATATCTTTATCGCCATCGCCATCAAGATATCCCCCAGAAGATTACAGTCGAGACTGTATTTGATCCGCAACAAAGCGGATCCAGAAGCAAAGAAGAACGCGGTCATTGATGGTGCTTGATTGGATCCGGCTGCAAGCGGCGACAGCCATTCAACCGCTGTCAACATCAGTTCATGGCTCGGTTTGGGAAAGACCGTGCTTGTAGGTGGATGCCAAGAATTATTGTGAGACCAGTGAGATGCCTAATTTCTTTGAAGCTGGTCATCGATCCCAATGCCTGACAACTCACGACAAGAATCAACGTGTCAAACAGGACTTTAAGCCTTCCCACCCGCTGGGACGTTCCGAAGCCCGCGCAGAAAGCTCTCTCGGTTCTTCTCTTTCGGATCAGGTGTGCAAAGGCAAAGACATGACCTTTTACATTAAAACACGATAAATACCTTTTGCCTGAAAAGGCGTTGCAACATCAGCACGTTCGCCCTGTTCATTTCGCTGAGTAAATCGCGGTTGGTGTCAAACGTGGCGCCCAGTTCGGTTTCACATTCCCGTATCCTACGCGCTTAAAGCTGCGCTTGGGGATGATCAAGCCGTCTCGCAGCGCCGCTGCAGGTTTCGCCAGCCGCAGTGAAATGACACAAACAGCTTCATAACGAGCCGTATCCATCCCCCAGAGTTCATTGGCAAGTCTAGAGAGCTGTGCGGCTGGATGACTGGTGCAGTCATGATTATAAATCTTCATCCGATCGCTCAACGGCTCAACTAGCACCAAAGAACACATGAAAGGAAATAGTAAAGTTGTCCATTCCAACCATCATAGAAATAATTCATTCAAACAAAGCTTTTGCAGAATCGAAAAGCAAAAAGCAAAAACTATTGGGCAGAAAATACTCAGCTTCGTTTAAGACAAATGCAGTATATATATATATATATATATATATATATATATATATATATATATATATATATATATATATATATATATACATGGATATGGGTTCATATATCTTATTTCCCAGCTGAGAAGAAATGATGTAAAATGTAAGTTGTTAAACGCATTAGCGAGGAACATCATGCATGTAGGTAAGACAGTAATAACAACCTTACTCCTCCGGATATTCTCTTCTGCTATTTGTTTCGATAAACGCATGTTGACGAAATATCAACGCATCTATACTTCCATTTTCATGGCTTCTCTCCGAAGAATAAATATATTATGAAGAATAATATAGTCTTATCTATAACATGTTCCAAAATGTCCGCTAGAGTTTCACATCATGGTATGCCATGTTTTACACTCAGGCTAGCATGCTCACTCACATGTTATGTTTGTGTAGACACGCTCTTACATTTCAAAGCAGAATACAGGCCATGGTGACAAGGCCCCTTCGGAGAGCGAAAGGTATTCGAAATTTATGGCATTCATCCAGCTATCTTTGGTACCTCAACTCTACTTGTACCGAAGTAATGTGATGTTTCACCGATGTTCAGTGTTCATTCAGTGCTAATTCATCATTGAAATTTCTGGCAATAATGAGATTGTTGTTTGGTCACACAAACTAACATGAGCCTTGACAGTAACCATTTGGCACAAGCTTGAAAAATCAGTGTGACGCGTCAAATGCGATTTATTTCAAAGGAAATTCTCGCCCCAGAAACGTCCAAAACACTTGCCTGTTACCGACCTGAAAAACACTCGTTTTATATCGGTTTCGATCGAACAATGTGTTAGACTTGACTCCAGTTAGCATCACTAACATCAGCGTTGAAACTCACCAGCGTCATTATGGCAGTTTAGCTGTGTCGCAGTTCCCTCGATCTGTTGCAGATTTCTCGCAGGGACGGTCCGAGTCCTGCCGTTTCACTCTGCACACCACCAGGTCAACGGACTGCTGCACTTGAATTGGGCGAGGAGCGGCACTGCACGATGTCGTATCTCACACGCCATCCATCGCACGAAAACTGGCACACACGCGCCACTCACACATCCCAAAAACCGGGCGCTGAGCCTGCACGGTTCCCCCGACCTGGAAGATCCCCGAAAACAATAAGCACGTGCGTGCGCGGAAGTCAGCTGATCAGGCGCGAAATCGGAGCATCCGTCGTCACGGGCGTATGGAGGCGTGACCTTACCCTCACTTTAGGGGTAGAAAGGGCGGGCGAACGAACCACTACGAGTGGATGAGCGAGCGAGCGAGCGATGGAGCGAGCGATGGAGCGTGTTCGGCGAGCGGCGCGCGCTGCGAGCGGCGAGTGGCGCGCGGCGGGCGGCGAGCCGAGCGGCGGCGCGGCGGGCGAGTGGCGCGGACGCACGGCCCGAGCAGCGCGCCCTCTCGCTCAGTGACGTCACAGGGATGAGCCAGAGTAATGACGCGATGCCGAGATAAGGCGGCGCCCACGGCCGCAGCCCAGGAGGCGACCGCGCCGGATGAATTGTTGCCTGGCCAAGGCGAGCCGGTCGGACGGCCATGGGCTGCGGTGCTGCAGTGTTGCAGGACGGACGAGCGGCGACCGTGCGCCGGGCACTCATAAAGGTAGTCAGCGCGGAGGAATTCGGTTACAGTAATGACACGATGATGGTGGCTCACGCCGAGGGGTGGTTTGCCCACTTAGCAGCGGCTAATTTATGGGAGAGTTATCAGTCGCCACTTGCGCTCCTCACCCAGATAAACGCCTGTTTTGAGAGCTACGTGAACGCTCGGCAGTGTCCTGGTGATAGTTCTCCAGTTTTGTCCTTCACACGGACAAAGTGAGAGAGTATCTGGTTGCGACATCCACCGTGTCCATGTTTCTTAATCTACAGTGCCGAAGCCAAAAACAGCGCAGCAGTGGAGGCTTTCAGTTGTCCATGATTGTCACATTTAAACAACTGCTTTTGGAATGAGACCGTGGACATCAGGGGAACATCAGGATACGGGAAGAGGTCCCAGGGGCCATGGTCATCCACTTTTTTAGAATCTGAAACGTTGACTCTGCACCAGGGCCTGGAAAGATCTAATTCAAAATTGGCATTCATCCAGCAATTTCTGGGACGTTTCTAGGTGCACCTATGAATGACATCATTCTGCTCATTCTGGGAAAAGACCTCCGGTAAGCAAATCCCACCACCACGCTCATTCAGCAGCCAAGACCAAATGACTCATTCCTATATCCAGCCGGGTGACTATGGTTGGCTTGTGCCTCACCCTGTGCCCTCAGCCCCTCGCTTTCCCCGCTCCTCTCGAGCCGGTGATTACGGTCGGCTTGTGCCTCACCCTGTGCCCTCAGCCCCTCGCTTTCCCCGCTCCTCTCGAGCCGGTGACTACGGTCGGCTTGTGCCTCACCCTGTGCCCTCAGCCCCTCGCTTTCCCCGCTCCTCTCGAGCCGGTGATTACGGTCGGCTTGTGCCTCACCCTGTGCCCTCAGCCCCTCGCTCTCCCCGCTCCTCTCGAGCCGGTGATTACGGTCGGGTTGTGCTTCACCCTGTGCCCTCAGCCCCTCGCTCTCCCCGCTCCTCTCGAGCCGGCGACTATGATCGGCTTCTGCCTCATTCCGCGGCTCAACCCTCCGCTCTCCCCGCTCCCCTCGAGCCGGCGACTATGGTCGGCTTCTGCCTCATTCCGCGCCTCAAGCCCCAGCTCTCCCCACCCCTCACTCGAGTTGAGGGCCAAGCTGTGGAGAAGAATACTCTTTAAAGGATGCACTGCACTGGCCAATGATTGTACTTGATTCGAGCAGCTAAGAAGAGGTGCTATCAGTTTTTTCCTCGCTTCGAGCCCTTTCTTCCGTCTAACAACAGTCGAACGAGCAAGGTTCGTTTTCGATTTAGTTTGTCTACGTTTTTTTCGAGCCCCGTAGTTCGCCTTAATTCGGCTTAGGTGATGTTTGTGCCAATTTGGACGCTGCCACGACGGCAGCGGAGAACCTCGATCGCGCCAGCACCCTTCTATTCGACGGACGACCGAGCGTCTAGGTACCGCCGTCTTTCAAGCCTGTTAACGCCATTGCATAACGAAGGGCTTGCCAAATTTGGAGGACTTTGTGTCGTCCTTGAAGTCACAGTGGACTGCGAACACACAATAGTGCTTACTGCCGTCTCAAGACCACACGGCCTGCTCTTTGAGCGCGGGTTTCCACGTCGCATAAGAGCCTCAGCTACACGGGCTGCAGCGAGCTCCTCGCGTTTCCACCGCGGCCGAGATCTGGCAGCTCTCCGCCGGTCACTGTTGCGTGCAAGTGTCTTCCGCATCAGCCGATTAAGCCGGCCGGTTGGCCAGCACGCGGTGACTTTCGTGACGGAGAAGCCAAACGGCGCTGCACGAGATGTTGCACATTCTCTTAAGTACTTCACCGTTCGGTTGCAGGATACGGCAGTGAGGCAGCGCACGGCGTCGAGGTCACGGCCGGCTGGGATAGCCGGGCCTCGATCGTACAGTTTCTGAGCCGACCCTCCTCCTCCCACCCCCTCCGTGACCCCGCACCCCGCGTGGACGGCAGAGCTAGATTACCGACAGTGCCCTCGCATGCATCTGACAGCAGGTGATTTACACATCTGCAGGCGCAGGTTACTTTCAAGTCTTCATTAAAATGTGCTTTTCCTGAGCTGTTCACCTGACAGCCTGGTTGCTTTGTGTGGTTTGAGCTGAGCGTAAGCTCAACGAAAACTGTTACGCCACAAGCTCCATCGAAGGCTTGGCTTCGTGCAAATGCACCGGTGACAGGCTCAGTATCCCGTTAAAGGAGGGTTCACACTTTGCTGGGGTGGCCCCTGCCAGTTGGTCCTCCCCGCGCCACCACCAGATTCTGGAGTCCCCAGATTAGTGACAGTTTATTTTCGTAATCTAATTGCTTGTTGGGACAACTGTCCCCTGCACATCATGGAGAGCTGGACGTAGCAGCAAGGTGCATGACGCGCGTCCAGTTTCTCTGCGACTTGAGAATCCCATCATTCTAAGCTAGAGCGTTCGGAAAACATCTGGCAAAATGAATGGAAGCTAACTGCTTTGAACCATGGAAATCACGCACAACTCAAGTGACTAGCTATGGTTAGCTTGTTTAGCCACTAAGCCAGCAACACGCTGCATTTGACATGTCGCTTACCTTAAAGTAAGTCACTAAAAGCGAAAGCAGTAGCTTATACATGAATTTACGTAGTAATGACAAGTGCTATCGCATCAACCCAAAAAAAATGTCAGTTATGGTAGCAAAAGCCGGCAAATGCAGCAAATTCGTAGGCCTTCCACGTGATGTACTTTCAGTAGCCTTCCTTGTAAAGGCGGTTGGCTATGCATTTGTATTGTAGGTTGCAAAATATGTGTTTTTGGTACAAATATGCATCATAAAGCAGATATTACAAAGCCGGGTAGAAATTACAGATCTTTACCTCTAACATACACAAATCAAGGAATATCTGGAGGAATTTTTACAAATGTACATTGGTATGTTACATAAAGACCAGCTGGTTTTCCAGTCACCGGGCATTTGTAAACATGAGTGTACAAATCGTGAGCCTAAATCAACGATGTTGCTATCTGTGGGTGAAAAGTTGTCATAAGCTGAAGCGGTTGTGGGTGGGCTGTGGGTTGCGGGGTTTGGAACGGTTAAGTCACTGAAGCTCACAGAGGAAAGGAGGCATGGCAAAATCTTCCGGGGCAAAATAATCAAGATCTCAGAGGAAGCAGAAGGATGAAGAAGCTCTCAGAGCGACGTTCTTAGAGGGACTGGAGCAGTGGCGGTGTTGACGGGGTTATTGGTCGCCAGCTGCGTATAACTCCCGCCCAGTCGAGTGCGCAGCATGTTCCTTGTCGTTAAAACTCACCACCTTCGTTCACCTTGGCAGCGACAACCCACACCGATCCGATCCAAATATTGCATGGACATGTACTTGCGTGTTAAGGGAGTGCTAGTGTACTCATACGAAGTTGATTACTTCCGCGATTAGTACCCCTGCATCCAATTTACTGTCAAGATGAAGCTGCCATGAGGTTATGAAATGTATTAATGTTTACTATAGTGTATGCCCATACAGGCGGAAAAAGATATGCTACGCTTGTGGATCTGCAAACAGGCCACGCCACTCGGCTTATCGCCAAACAAGGACAGCTGCTGCCGGATGTAGATACGCCATGGATAGCTGCTGCCGGATGTAAATACGCCATGATTCTCGTGTCTGTGAGTAGGACATGGATTCTTATCATGGCACTAGAACGCTGGCATTACGTTGGATTCTTATCATGGCACTAGAACGCTGGCATTACGTTGGATTCTTATCATGGCACTAGAACGCTGGCATTACGTTGGATTCTTTTCATGGCACTAGAACGCTGACATTACGTTGGATCAACGAAGCGCTGGCTCACCGACACTGGCTCCTATGACAGTGTCAATGTTTTGCTTCTTTGTTTTCCTTCTCTACGACCGGCGCGGCGAAATCAATGGCAAATGTTCTTAGTGGAAGGTGTTTGAGTGCCTCATATCACGTTTCGTTGCACTTCCGATGCATTGTCTTTTAATGCCGTATCTGAACCACGGTAATTAACAACTCCCCATTGCATCAGTGATGTTTTCCCACGCTCGTCGGGTATTTATGATGCTAGCTGGCGAGTAAAATGCTGGAGGGAGGGGAAGGCATCGTTGGATTTCCTTTTAGTGGGATCCAGTGCGATTCAGTAAAAGGACAATGACGTTGCTGACACCCTGATGTGTCATTGGTTCTCTAAAATTGAACCCAGCTCAGTGAATACCCTCTCATTTATCCTCCGCACGTCACCTGCTCACCACTCTTGTGCACCGGACGGTTATCGCTTGGATGGCTGCCAGCAGATTCGCGAACTTGGCGTCATCCTGAACACCAAACTCACCTTTGCCAATCGCATATACTCGACTGTCTCAAAAGCAAACAGGATGCTGGGCCTTCTCATGCGAAGGGTGCAAATGCCGCCGTGTCCTCGCCAAGCGCGGTCCAATCATAAGGCTTCGTCGCTGTACCTGCGATGCCCATGTGAGATCGTTACTAGAGCACGGAGGCGTTACTTGGAGCGGTGCTGCCGTTTCCCACCTCGCTTGATTCAGACGACTGCAATACTGCTTTCTCATGTGGTTGTGTTCGTTGTTCCGTTGTTCCCAGTCCCGTTGTTCTCCGCTGGATTATGAACGTCTCGCTGCTTTTTTAAACAGCATCTATCAAGACGTGTTTTACTCAGCGTGACATCGTTTCTATATATAAT